CAACCGAACAGTGACCATCAGTTACCGATTGTTTGCTTGAAATGCCTTTCACGAATTCTCCTAAATGCTCCTCATTTCAATTACTCTTCAAATATAATCAACTTTATAGTTCGCATATGCACTTCAAATTCTAAGGATGTGAGCATCTTTATAAATCATCACTTTCCTCAATTTTGAATTTTTCAAGATTTGGTGGTAGTTGTTTGCTATTCTCTCTTTTAAATTTTGCAATAGAGTAATTTATTTGTTGTGATTAAATTCATATAAATGATGGAGGTTACTTTTCAATTTATTAATAGGCTATTGATTTGTGTTGTTCTACACTGAGCGATTTGTTTCAAAACGATTTAAATTTTCGAATATCTTCCACTGCAGCAAAATATATTGCATCTATTGTTAATCAAAAAAAAGGCAATGTACCACCAGCACTAATCGCAACATTTCTGGAATTGAAAGTGAAGGTTGTTATTTCTAATTTTTTGCTTCGAAAGGCTTTAATAATTTAAAATTATTGTATTTGAGAATTTAAATTGGTTTGAAAGATGGATTTTAGATAATATGGAATTTGTCGCTGAATTTCATGAGAATTTCAGGTTTTTTTTTTTTTTTTTAGGAAGTGAATAAGGGTGAAAAAAATCAAGGAAAGGAAAAGCTGTTGAATAAGAAAAGACTTCTGAATAAAGAAAAGAAAAAGAAAAGTAAAGAAAGGGTATGATTTTTTGCTACTTGTTTCCTTCGAGTAAAATTATATATTTGTATATATCGCATTTTTTTGTTTTTAAAGGGAATAAAAGTTCACAAGTATTACCATTTACGGTAACTTATCTCCAGTTAAATTCTCGGTAGTGTGGGTAGCCTGATTATTTGATAAATATCTATCAGTTTTTTTTTTTTTTTTTTTTTATATATATATATTAAGCCATTAAGTACTTTTGTTTATTTCCATTTTAGAAAGTAGAAAACCACTCCTACATTACAGGGAAGTGAATATTTTCAGTTTTATTTTTTTATTTTTTGGAGATTTCAAAAATGAAATTGAACATTTGTTGATTTAGTTCGTTAAACAATTGAAGAAACTTCAAGCTGATTTGAAAGAAGTTGAAGCAGCCGAATCTATTTCAACAAAATTATCATTTGTAAATTTTTTGTGTTATGATTATGTAGTATTATTATATTTGTTGGATATTTATTCATCGTTGAGAACTTATACTTCCTTCTAGAATTATTTCTTTTCGCTGGATGAGAAATGATCTATTCTGTTGTTTTTTATTTAGAATTCAAAAGACAGAAGAAGAACATTTTAGTAGATAAAGCAGGAAATGCGACAATCAGTATAGTAAGCTATCATTTATGAAGTAAATTTGTATCAGTTAGTTTGTAAAATCAGAATTACTGCCGCAAATATAATTTAGACATGAAATTTAGGCAACCGAAACAATGAATCATGTATTCGCAACATACTTTCGTGTCATAAAACGATTACCGACCACAAAGTTGTTGGAACCAGTATTGGAAGGTTTGGCTAAATTTGCGCATTTAATCAACATTGAATTCTTTGATGATATGATAGCTGCACTATCATCACTTATCAATCAGCAGGTTTTCCGTTTTCTTTTATTTGTTTTTCTAATTTAATAAACATAACTGTTCATTAATGAATGTCTTTATAAACTTTTAATTATTCTTAAGTTACAAATTTAACTAATTAAACAATTAGTTACATTTTGTCATAGCTAATTTTTGAATAAAGTGATTCAATTTTTTATTTGAAAAATCATTCTTATAATGCTAGAAAGGAATATGATAAATGTTTGATAGAAAATTATTGTTTGTTCATAGGGAATTCCAGGAATTCCATTACTTAGTGAGTAGGTAAAATCAAAAAAGACTATATCATATGATAATTGAACATTAAATAATTAACTTATTTTTAGCATCTTCGATTGGTTGATTCATTACGATGCATATATACATCATTCGTTATGCTTTCCGGTGAAGGTATTGCATTAAATATTGATCCATCTCGATTTTATTGGTCAATGTATCGTTTATTACCTTCTATAGCATTCGAAAAGCATCAAGGTCTATTTTTTTTTTCTTATTTTATTAAATTATTATAGTAGTGACTGAATAATTATCCATTTTGATAACTAATTATTTTGTATCGTTAATAAACTTACTTTTTATTGATGTCAGTTATTTTAGTGATTTGCTGAATTAATAGTAGAACTTTTTTTTTTTTCAGATGGCCTTGTAAATACATTATCGCTGACATTACGTACGTTAGATCTAATGATTAATTGCCGGCGTAAACAAGTTCCAGCGTGTCGTGTAGCCGCTTACATCAAACGTTTATTAGCATTAGCATTTTTCATGCCTTCTTCTGGCGCAGCATCTATTTTACTATGTATTAGATCTTTTTTCATTGTAAGTTTTTATTGATTTCATATATTTTTAACTGTTTTTTTTTTTCCCACACATTTGTTTACAAAAATAAATCAATAAGTATAGCAAAAAAATGAAAGAACTTCCCTTGTTAATATTTTTAAAGCTCATTAATATAACTGTTTTCCAGCGATTTATTTGCATGAGAAAATTGATTGTTATGGTTATTTTTGTAAGCCGAGACATGAGCAAAAGAATTGGTTAAATTAGTTCTTGTTAATTTATATATTCCGGGAAGAAATTCAGTTTTGAATATTATAACTATTCGAGATTAATTTAAATTACTCACTATACAGTCAGGGTAATAGCAAAATCATGATATTTTAACTGTTTCAGTTTCATTCAACTTTGTTTTACAGTAACATAAGCAATCAATGATATCAATGTGATCATCATAGTCAATAACTATTGATTTGACCGTCAAGAAAAATAATTATTTAATTATTTTTAAATCGAACATTTAGGCTTATCCAAAACTTGATTGCATGGTAGAAGATACGGATGGATGCTCTTATATAGAGTCGTTTAAGCCAGAACTTGATGATCCGGATTGTTGTGGTGGACTTTCTTCGTCAATAATCGCTGAAATTAACACCCTTGCTAAAGTATTTTCTTTTTTCTTTCTTTTCTTTTTTTTGAGACAGTTTTAGCTAAAAATTATCGAAAAGGAATTGTGATGAAATGGCCAATTTTTATATAATAGTTATTTGGAATAATGAATGCTTGGCCAATCAGATTTATTTTTTTAATACTTATCTAAGAAGGAATTATTATTCATGTTAGATGATTCTAACTATTGTATTATTATTTTTCTTTTTTTTTAGCATCCTGACAAAACAGTTAGAATAATAGCACGATATTTTCAATCTGGCTTACCATCTACAGGACCTAATCGTCTGTTACCAGAATACTCAATAAAGTTAGTTGAAAATTAAAGAAAGAAAAAAATTTTTAGATATTTAATGATTTAAATGATTATTTATTTTTTATTATATTAGCGACTAAATGAAACTATTTGTTTATTATCTCTTCTGTTTTAGTAATATTCGAAATAACTTTTTATGCATCATTTTAAGGAAAGCATACGAGTGGTATGATGAAAACAATAAGGTAGCAGAAGTTGATGAAGAGCCTTTTTTTATCAAACTTATCACTGCATACGCAAAGGTTTTTTTTTTTCTTTTCTTTCATTTTATTTTCCTGATATTGAAGAAATGTTAGAAGTTTTTTGACATTTCCGAATTTCGAATTATTCAAAAAAGAATATTTCACTCTTTTCCATTTATATTTTCTAATCTTTTCCAAAAAAAGTAAATAATATTCACAAAAATAGTTTTTAAGAAGCAGAAATTGCAATTGACATCAAAAACGTTACATCCGTTGGTGTGCAGATGGGTTGAGGAAAATATGGAAAGGAAGTCATAAAAATGCTTAACGCATTTGTTACTATTAATGTATTTTAAAATTGTAACTTTTTGTTAAGTTTGATAAATTAAAGTTTTTTTTTTCTTCTCTTTTTGGTTCACTTTGTGTTGATGGTTTAATTGTCGAACTGTATTTTCATCGAAAATTTTGATTGGAAATAAATAATAAAGCAAATTTTTCGTAGGATAGTTTATGACGAATTGAACAAATGATATTAAACTTTACTGAAATAAACATGCAAATTCTTCATAATTACAACAACAAAAAGAAAAGAAAGCATTGTTCTGTTTCTTTATATTTGCTTGAATAAATTTCATTTATTTATTATTTTTTTTTCCATTCATCATCTCTTTTATCATTACAAGCATAGCAAATGTTAGAAATACAAATAAATTTTTACAATCATTAAAATATTAAATTAAAAATGGAAAAAAGATCTTGAAAATTGCAAGGAATAAAAAAAATAATAAATCATTTTTTTTCATGATTGTAGTAATTGCTTTGTTAATTTTTTTTTTTTTGCAGCAAAATTCTTATCAGTGTATGACATTCAGAGGAAGAACTAACAGATTGATTGCTGGAGATCTTGGCTGTTAATTATCTGATAAGAAAGGGAGAGAGAGAGAGAGAGAGAGAGAAATAACAGTCGAATAAAAGCCAATCATTCTGGTTGTCCATAGATTTGTTTCTTTTTTTTTATTTTATTTTTTATTTTTGTTAAACAAGTTTTTAATTAAAGTTAAAGATATGTTGATTAAGAGGAAAAAAAAAAGAAATTATGGATCTTCTTTAAAACAACATCCCATTCAATGATTTATATCTATTCAAGATTTAATTCAATTAAAATTTTATTATCTGTAGCTGCTTAATAAAAATACAAATATTATATTATATACATAATAATGAGTGATTTTTTTTTTCACAATAAATTTGGAATCTTGTAAATTAATTGATCGAAAATAATCTAAATTATAACAAGTTTCTTTTTTTTTTTCTTCGTATGAAAAATAAAATGTAATTTTATTTCTTTTAAATTATTCATTTTTTTTTTTAACTTTTCTCATTGATAAAATTCGAGAATAAATAATTTAAAATTCCTTTTTTTTTTCATCATTTAATTTAAAATTATTTTAACGTGTTTGTCGAAATGCAATACATGTTACATTACCTTTCATAGCTTCACAATATAAATTAGAACTGTACACATATGAGAAATGACCCTTTGAACAAATTACATCAATACTACCACCAAATTTCTCTTCTGCTCGATCATTAATTGAACGTTTTGATGCTGATGAATTATCACTAATACTCTTTAAAAAAACCAAAAATTTAATATTAAAATTTTTGAAATTTTTAATATTTAAATTTAAAAATTTTTATTAGTAGTATTTTATTTGAAACAATCAATAAAGTTATATGTTTTTTGTTTTTTTCAATTTCATTTTATTCCAATTTGTTTAACTTTTATGGGAAAGAAAAAAAAAATTAAAAATTTTTTTTATTTACCTTTAGCATAAGTTCTTTTAATTCTTTGCTATTACATTTGGTATTCATTCCGGTTTCCGAACGATTTTTCATTATTTTTGATATTTTTGATTGATTCTTATCAATGATATGTTTAGCGGAAATTCCTTGATTACGCGTTTGTTGACTAATTGTATTTTCTTGTTTTGGTACTCTTATCAAATCTGAATCATCTTCCTGAAAAAAAAAAAGGAGTGATAATGATAATGAAACAGATAAAAATATAAGCTAAAGAATGATAAAAAAGAAAAGTTAATCATTGATCTTTAATCAAGTTTGTGATCAAAAAAAAAAGTTAAAATATCAAATATACTTAGAAGATTTTCTATATTTTATTACATAAAAATTTTTTCTACATATTATATTGAAACTTTTTTTTTGCTGAATTTAAAAATAATTAATTACACAATGAAAAGAAAAAATATTATTCCAAATTTCTTAATAATTTTTTTTTTTTAGAGGAATAAAGTAATTAAATGTAAAATAATTTCATAGTTAACTAATATTCTGTTAATGGTTTACAACAAGTTTATTTAATGCATCCAAAATGAATTAATCAAATTTCAATTTTTTTTTTAAAAAAACTAAAAATAAAACAAATATGTCAACAAAATTACAATAACTCATAAATTATTTATTTGATCGTAACCTTAAATTATTTTACAAATATATGCCAAATAGAAGTAAATTATATTAAATAGGTCACAATCAAATGATATTTTATCATTCTGATCAAATTTTATCTCTTCAAACATTTTCCATTTTTCTATTTCATTCCTTTTTCTAATTGGCATTTTTTGTAGCATATCAATTGATACATATTTCAAATATTATTTCAACAAAACGAATATCAAAAAATGTCCGAAATAAATGAAAAAAAAAGATTCAATTTGAAAAAAATTAAACAATTCAAAAACTAAAAGTAAAACACAAATGAAATATAAAAAATAACAAAAATTAAACATAAGATTCCAATACTCATAGATAAATATAATCTTATTTCGATATACAATTAAGTAAAATTATCAGCTATTAGTTAAATGATCAGTGATATATATTTAATTGTTATATTTCCTTTACCTAACAAAATTTCAATTATTTAATTATTATGATAAATGATAAAATGATACGCTTTGTTTTGAGATAAATATCAAAATTGTTTCTGATTTATTAAATAATATCAATGAATTTATCTTACAGTTTGATAATAAATAAATAATAAATGAATTATTTTCAAGTTATTAATTATAGTTACTTCCTAAGAAGATTTTTTCAAAAAAAAAAAAAAAAAATTGAAAAATAATTGCATTTTCTTAGTAGCTAATAAATTGAGTTTATTTATTTGAATAATAATTATACCTGTGAGCTTTCCGTTGTAGAACGTTTTAGAAGACGTGACCTTGTATGACCTTCCACGCGAGCTATTGGTAATTCATCATTTGAAATTCCTTTCTTCTGAAATTTTCAGCACAAATAAATAAATAAACAAATAAAGCATTCATACACTGCTACAAAATAAAATAAACAATAAACTGACAAAATAAATAAATAAAACTACGAAAAAAAAAGGAAAAAAACAAAAGATTTTCATATTAAATTTAAAATTGATCATAATAATGCAAAAAAAAAGTAAGAAAAAAGAAGAAGAAAAAAACAATATGATTTAACATTTCAGTTAAAAAATAAAACTTAAACTTTACCAATTTTAATTTGCCAAATTGAATTTTTTTATTGCTTCGTTGATTAATACTATCAATTGTTGATCCATTTGAACAAAATATTGATTTTATACATGATGATATTTCACAGCTACAGTTTGATTTGAAATTGTTTAATGGAATTGCAGTAATTGGTATTAGAAACAATAAGAAATAAAGTAACATTCTAGTAGTAGTAGTAGTAGTAGTAATAGTAATAAAATAATTTGTATCACTTTGAAAAGATCTAAATTTTATAATTTTTTTTTTCAAATTATTATAAATTTTTTCAAATTAGTAGTAGTAATAATAGTAATAAAATAATTTGTATCACTTTGAAAAGATCTAAATTTTATAATTTTTTTTTTCAAATTATTATAAATTTTTTCAAATTAGTAGTAGTAATAATAGTAATAAAATAATTTGTATCACTTTGAAAAGATCTAAATTTTATAATTTTTTTTTTCAAATTATTATAAATTTTTTCAAATTAGTAGTAGTAGTAATAGTAATAAAATAATTTGTATCACTTTGAAAAGATCTAAATTTTATAATTTTTTTTTTCAAATTATTATATTGTTTATATGTATTGAAAATATAAGTTATTTAAATTTCTTAAATCTAAACTAGAAAGTAGTTATAGCTATAATTAAAATTAGCAATAGTCATTTTTGTAAATTTTATTTAAATATATTCAAAAAAAAGTTGAAAATTTTATGATGAATCCTTAAAAATTTGAAATATAAATTCATATCGGTTAATTAAAAAATAAAATCTTTGATAAAATTTTTTTTTTTTAAATAGTTAATAAAAATACTTAAAAATTGAATGCATTAATGCATGTAAATAATTGAAACAATAATTTCTTTTTTCAAGAAAAAATTTTAGAAATAAAATATTTAAATTTAAAAAGAGAAAAAAGTTTAAATTCTTTTTTTCTGTTCAAATTTCTTTCAAAATATTAAATAAAATTAAATTGGAAAATTAAAATATAAGTTTGAGATTGAAAAGATTCTAAAATGAATAATTTAAAGTTTTAAGCATTTTTTTTTAGTATAGAAAATTATATGATTTTAAAAGATTAATCAAATCTTTTATGATATATTTATTTTTTTATTTTATGCTAAACATATGGATGATTTTTTTTTTTTAATAAACTCTATTTTTCGTCATTAAAATTTTTTTCCAAAAAAAAATAAGAAAGCACAATTTCGTCTAATATATGTAAATAAATATAATATTTTATCCAATTATTCAAAAACAGTCTTATTTTTAGAGTTAAAATTAAAGAAAATAAAGAAGGAAGAGGGAAAATTTAAAAAAAAAAAAAACAACAAATGTTTGACGATAATATTTGAATATATTGAAATAATAGTTTCTTTCTCGAGAAAATCTCGAGATCTTTCTCAAGAAAAAAAGGAAAGAGAAAGAGGGGAAATATATATTAATGATAATATTATATGGAAATTTTAGAAAAAAAAAAAGATGTGAATATATGAATTTAAAAGAATGTTGATTTCAATAGAATCAAAAATGAGGTTACCATTTAATATCACACAATGAATCAAACAATGTCACCAGTTTCAACAAATTAACCAATCCATCAATAATCATTGAATTCTCCACCTCCATCATCTCCTCTTCTTCCTCCTCTTCCTTGCATGAAAATAAATTTTTTTCAAAAACAAAAAAAAAACCAAAAAAAAAAAAAAGAAACAAAACAAAACAAACAATCTTGTTATTATTTTTACCTCTCTCTCTCTCTCTCTTCCTCTCTCTCTCACAATTTTATTGTTGCTTTTCTTTTCTCTCTCTCCCTCACTCTCTCTTTGTTTCATAATAAACTTTATAAAAATATTTGCTTTAAAAAAAATTTTTTTTTTCTCTTTAAATATCTTTAATTCTTTTTTTCCTTATAAAACTAATATAATATAACATATTAATTTAACAAAATGGAAAATTAAAAAGTTAAATTGTAAAAATTAAAAAAGTTAAAATTATACAAAAAAATAAATAAAAATAAGAAATAATACGTAAAAAAAAAATAAATATATGTTTCTTGTATAAAAGACGGAAAAAAAAAAAACGAAAATTTTGTAATAGTAAAATGATAATGCAAATTTTGCATATTTTTATTGATTGATAATTGTATGATAGCATAACAAATTTTTATTTATTTGCTGTTAATTTATTATATTCAATAATAAAATTAATAATAATTGTAACTTTGACAGACCATTATGATTAATTAATTAATTATTTAATTAATTAATTAATTACATACATACATACATACAATTAAAATAAGTTATAATTTTAATTTGAAAAAAAAAAGAAATGAGCACATTTATATGATGAGAATAGCATTTGCATGACAAATTTAATTCAACAAATTATCATTTGCAAAAAAAAAAAAAAAAATTTTTTTTAGCAATAAAAACAAAAAAAAGGAAATATCAATCTGAAATGATTAATAATGTACAACAAAATTTTACATTTTACATTTTAATTTACAGTATTTGCGAGAAAAAACAAAAAAACAAAAAAAAAAACAAAGCGGAAAAAAGGAAAATTAAAAGAAACAAAAAAAAATTTTTTCAATTAATCAAAGTATAATATCATTCGTAATTTGACAACAATGTATTCCTGTCAAAATTATTTCATTAAATAATTAATTAACACTTACATTAGTCATTGACCGATATTATTATGATAAATTATGATAAGAATTCTTTTTGGTATATTTTTTCTCTTTTCCTAATAAATTTTTGCTTTTTTTTAAAAAAATCAAATTCATTAGTTTTTAAAATTTTTGAAAATTTCAAGAGTAGCATTTTATGCTTTTATTTTATTAATCCTTTTAACATAAGAAGAATTATTGATAACTATTCGTTTTACTCAATTAAAGAGTTGAAAAAAAAAATTGATAAAACTATTTTAAAAATTTATAATTTATTCATTTAAATTACTGAACTGTTTTTGATTTTATACAAAAATTACAACTTATGTCATTGAAAAATAAAATTAATATTAATTTTTTTTTTATTACTTTTTTTTCTAATAATTTAAGATAGATTAGTAATTTTTCAATAGTAAAACATAATGTCATTTTCTTTTATGAGCAATATGATTCTATCATAATGATTATATGTATTAATATTATTATCATATTTGTTATTATTATTAATATTATTATTATCATACAATTTTTATTATTATTATCATATTTATTACTATCGTATTTATTATTATCATCATATTTATTATTATTATTATTATTATTATTATTATTATTATTATTAATATTATTATCATATTTATTATTACTACTATCATTATTATTATTATTGTTCATTTATTATATTGTTATTATATTATTATTATTATCATTAACATTATTATTATTACCATATTTATTATTATTATCGTCATCATATTTATTATTATTGGAAATAAATAAGTGACATTCGTGTTTTTTTCTTTGCTTCTTTCTCTCTCTCCCTCTCTCTCTCCGTTATTGAAATTATTGAAAAAACTAAGGCAAACCGAAATATGAAGTACTTTTCTACTTGATGCATTTTATATGTATAATTTACAATATCATTTTAACATTATCAATGATATATTTACAAAATTTGTTATATTCAAATTTTATAATAGAATTTTAAAAAAAATATTTTCTATTTTTTCTATGAAATAAGTATAAAATCTTTGGTATTTTTTAAACCGGATGATAAATAGAACTATGAATAATTTTAAATTTCATCAATACGACAACAAAAATTAAATAAATAAGTAAATAAATATACAAACAAACAAATAAATAACAAAATATTTTCCTGCAGATAATAACATTTGAAATAATTAACCGGAACAACAATTAAACCGGAACAGCAATAGTCGTTGACGATAATGAATGCTTTTTCCTACATCGATAATAACATGGTAGAAAATCTTTTAGATGTAAACGTACAGCCGGATTACACATATAAATAATAATACGAATAGCACTTGTAAACATGTAAACAAAACTGACTGTATCCGAAAAAACTGTGTGAAATGTACTTGCCATCATTGGATCATCCGGATCACGAAGTACTGAGAATTGTGATCTAAAAAGTAAAGTAAAGTAAGTTTTATTTTTTGACTAAAAAAAAAAAGTAAAGAAAGAAAAAGCAAAAGAAGAAAAAAAAATTTGTTAAATTATTTTTTTATTTAATTTAAATTTATAAAAAAAGTTTTAAAAAAAAAAAAAACGAAAACGAAAACCTTTCTAAAATTGTAAGTATCAAATGAAGACTGTTACTGATTAGATAACTAGTAACAATAGCAAACATTGTACAAACAGCATCACGAACCGGAGTGGACATTTTACGTAACGGTTTAGTCATTATAATTGATACTGAAACGGAAAAAAAAAACGGAAAGAAAGAATATTTGTTCTATTATTTTTTAAAAGTTCTTTTTTTTTTTTTAAATTAGCTTTTATTTGTTCAAACCAACATTTTTTACTAAATTAGTTTTATACAATTAAAATGTTTCGTTGAATATTTTATAAACTAACTAAATTCTTTTCTTTTTCGTTTTTTCTTTTTTTTTTTTAAATTTTAACTTATTTAAATTAATTTTATATTTTTTTAAATTTATATAAAGTTCAAGTATGTGTGTGTTCTTTCCAACTCCTTTTTTTTTCCTTAAATTTTGCATCTAAATTTGAAATTAATCGAAGCATTTACATAATTTAATTTTATATCTTTCTGTCTGAGATATAAATAATCGATAGTGTAAATAATTAATTTTAACATTTATATCTCCAAAGTGTTTCATTTTTTTTTTCTTTCAATTTTTCAATTTTTTTTTTTTTTGTTTGATAAACGTTCAATAAATTATTATACAATTTTTTTTTTTTTTTTTAAGATAAATTTAAATTACAATATTAATTTGATTAGATTATTTTACATTAATAATCATTAGCTTACTTCCATTTTTTGCTTCAAACAATGAATCATTACGTCTTTTGAACTTTGAACTCCAGATGGTATTTAATGATTTTGATTTATGCTCAAATTTTGAAGCATTTCGATTCGATTCATCAAATTCAAATAATGCATTCGAAATGGAAAATTGTTCTTGTTGCAATTGTTGATTATGAATTGAGGTAGAATAATTTTGCTCAATTAAAAAATGTCCATTTTCTTGATCTGTTTCTTTCATATGATTCTTTCCTCGATCCAAATTTTCTTTTGGTAATTTTCGAATAATAATCTATAAAAAATAAATAAATTTGCAAATATATTTTGTGTTAAATTTTCAAAAAAAAAAAAACAAAAAAAAATTTTTTTAATTTAAAACTAATTATAGCAAAATTTGAGAAAGACAAAAAAAAAACCATTTCAATTTTATTTTTAAATAATAAAAATTTTTAATATTATCTAATTTTTACATAATATTGAAAATGTATCTAATTTTTAGATAATTTTTGGATAATATATATTAAATAAGTGATAATTTTACAAAGTAAGAATGAAAAGAAATGAATTTGATAATTTTGATAAACTTACAAAATTAAACACAACAAGAACAATAAATGGAATAAATGTTTGAGCAATTGATAAGAGATGAAAATCGAAGAAATAATAAACTTTACTATCGTGCACCCAATCAGCTGGTCCTGTGCTTTGTGTGCGCAAAAAATCGTTACAATTTGGAAAATGATGTACCTTTGAAATAAAAAAAAAAAAGCAATTTTCATTCCTTTTTTTTTGTTTACTTTTCTTTTTGTTTACTTTTCTTTTTGTTTACTATTTTTTTTTTTGATTTAATTAATTTTTATAACACATCACAAATAATTTGTAAAAATGAAATGAAAAAAAAAAAGTCATTTATTTGTTAGTTTATCAAATAAATGTATGTTTCTTTATCAATAAAATTTAATAGCAATAAAAATGAGAAAAAAAAAAGTGAAACGAAAAAAAAACAAAGACAAAATATGGTCTAACTTTTACTTTTTTTATTGTTAATTTTTTTTTTTTTTTTGAATGATAATTTTTTTAAATAGTAATTTAATTGATAAACATAGAGAATAAATTTTTTTGTTTGTTTGTTTTTTATATTTGAAAAAATAATAGCTTTGATAAAGTGTAATTTTATATAATTTTATAAATGTTAAACTGTCAAATAATAAATATTTAAATATCAATTTATATGATTTCGAAAAAAAAAATGAAAGAAAATTGTATCACAATAATAAAATAAATAAATTTGTGCAAAAAGAATGATAGAATATATCTTTTTCGAATATTTTTAAAATAAATTGATTAAATATAATGTAAATAATTTTATAACTAAATTTTAATTACTATAATTAAATTATTGAATACGTTGATTGATAGATCGATTAGATTAATTGTTTAATTTAAATATATATAAAATAAATTGATTGAGTATAATGTAAATAATTTTAAAGTTAACCAAAAAAAAACTAATTTTTATAACTAAATTTTCAATTATTATAATTTACAAGATTTTAATTATTATAAATAAATTAATTAAATCGTTAAATAGATTGATTATATTAATTGTTTAATTTAAATAAATTTATGCAAAAATTGCATGGATATACATATATGTATAATAAATTAATTGAGCATAATGTAAATAATTTTATGACTAAATTTTAATTATTGTAATTAAAATAAATCATTGAATACGTTGATTAACAGACTAACAGGTTAGATTAATTGTTTAATTTAAATGAAAAATGCATAAATTTACATATATACATAAAATAAATTGATTGAATGAATATAATGTTAATAATTTAATGACTAAATTTTAATTACTATAATTAAATTAATTAAATCACCGACTACGTCGATTAATAGGTTAACAGATTAGGTTAATTATTTATTTTAAATAAATTTATGCAAAAAAATGCATGTATTTACATACATACATAAAATAAATTGATTGAATATAATGTAAATAATTTTATGACTAAATTTTAATTACTATAATTGGATTAATTAAATCATTGAATACGTTGATTAGCAGATTAGATTAATTGTTTAATTTAAATAAATTTATGCAAGAATTTGAAGAATATATATAAAATAAATTGATTGAATATAATATTAATAATTTAAAATTTTAATTACTATAATTAAATTAATTAAATCACTGAATACGTTGATTAACAGATTAACAGATTAGGTTAATTATTTATTTTAAATAAATTTATGCAAAAAATGCATGTATTTACATATATACATAAAATAAAATGACTGAATATAATATTAATAATTTAAAATTTTAATTACTATAATTAAATTAGATTAATTGTTTAACTAAATAATAACTTAAAAAACATACTACAATTGCAAATGCTGTTGGTAGACGTGAAATTGTACAACAAAGTAATAAAAGAATGACTGTAATGTGATGGCCATGATCGCTAAACATTCGTTTCAAAAATTTTTTTGTCTTCTGACCAGATATCCATACAAAACGTTCTAATGTTGTTAAAATTAGCATATATGGAATAGCTAATTGTGTTATTCGACTGATAACATATGCTGGTACAATATAAATATGATATAGTATGAATAAATTCTGAAATTAATTCTATATTAATTAACAATTTAAATAATTTTAATTTAATAATTGAAATATTTCATTTTTTTTTTAACAATTAATAATTTGTGAATAACCAATGTCATTTATTTCATAATTTCAAACCAAATTAATTTTAATGATATCAAAAAAAATAAAAATTTCTAAGGTTTTTTTTAAAAAAAGATGATAAAAATTTTATTCATTTATATTATTATTATTATTACTGTAGCATTAATTGCTCTTTGCATCTTCTTTTAACATTAATTTTGATTAAAAAAATGCTAAAATGCAAAAAAAAAATTTAAATTTCTTGAAAAAAAAATGTTTTCTTTTTAATTTATATTATTATCATATTATTATAAACTACCATATTTATATTACCATTATATTATTATAATTTTTGTTATTATCGCTTTAATGGCTTCAAAAGATCTAAGTATATGTATTTAATTAATTAATTATTTATGCTCATCAAACTGCTATTAGTAATTATTTCAATAATAAAAATAGAAAAATAATAGTAATAGAGAAAACATACTGAAACTTTAAGATAAACAATTGCTGCATCAATTCCAAATAACATAATATAAAGAATACAAATTAATGCATCAAGAATCGCTAACACTACAAAAAATAAAATTAATTTTAATTTTAATAAATATTTATCAAAAAAAAAAAAATACAAAGCATTTTTTTTAAAAAAAAAAATGAAAAAAGTTAATAATATTTAGAAAGCAATAAAAAAAAAAAGAAGAAAAAATTCAAAATTCAAATAAATAAATTATATTTTTCCAAATAAATAAATAAAAGTTAAAGTTAAAAAAAAAAAAATAATAAATAAATACTTTACTTACCAGTAGGATATTTTGTTGACGTTGGATAAGTTCGTGTCATAAAAATATAAACTAAAAGTAAATTACCACAGGTACCAAGCCATGCAATAAATGATGCAATCATTAAAAAGATAAATCGTGCCAATGTGTAAAATTCTGACTGAAATTTACTTATAAATATAAAATTTCTTTTTTAAAAATAAATTTTTTTTTTACAAAAGAGAAAAAATAAACATAAATTGGAAAAAAAAGAAATGAGAGCATTTGAGATATTTAATAAATATATATAATTACTAAATTACTTTTCTTTTGTTTTTGATTTTTTAAAACGTTTTTTTATTTCATATTAATAATTTTTTTTTAAATATTACTTTTTTTTCTTTTCATTTTTTTTGAAAGTAAAAATTAATTTATGTAGTTAATTTTAAGCTTTTTTCAATGCTATACAACTTGAATTGATGCTAAATTTCAAATTTCAATCAAATCACATTTCAAAATTTCAATAAATTTCAATCAAATCACAAAAAAAAAGCTGTGATAAAAAATAATTAATTGGCGGATTTTAAAAGTATAAATATAGTAAATGAATTGAATTTGAATTGAATCATTAAATTGTTCCTAAGAACTAGATGATGATTTAATTCATTTAATTCAATTCAATTTAATTCATTTCAATTCAATTCAAATTCAATTCAATTCATTCTGCAATTTATTTATTTTATTTAATTTATTTATTCATTCATTTATTCATTCCATCCTTTATTTTTTTAATTACTTTACTCCATTATTGTAATTTGCTAGATTCAATAGAATGCATTTAATTATTTATAAATTTAAATTATACAAATAATTCGAGCAAAAAAAAAAAAAACTAACATTTTTACAGAGTCACAAAATTAAAATTTTTTAATTTCAAATTTAAAAATAATTGGCTTTAAAAATAATTGCCTGGTTGATTTATTTTTTTAATTTCTTTTTTAATAATATCATTCTTATTGTTTTATCCTCATATTTACTTAAAATTTCCATTAAATTCCATCCTTTCATACAAAATAATTTTTTTATTTTGTACTTATTTTTTTCAGTGAGCTAAAAAAAAAATGTAGAAAGTTTGTTTTTTCTTTTATTTATTTATTTTCAAAACTTAAATTTGTTGTTAATTCGGTTTTTTATATGCAACTGAATCTTCTGGAAACTATAATTTTAACATTTATTCAATACTTTTATTAAAAAGTAAATTTTTGTAAATTTGATTCAAATTAAAATAATTCAATTAAAATATTTCAAAATAGAATCTATGTTTTTTTTTTTGATGAATTATTTGAACTGAATAGTAATCATTTATTCAATTTAAAACTGATAATAGTTACTAGAATAAACCGAAAATGCTTCAAAAAAAAAAAAGAATTCTTCTTATCATTTGAGAATTTTGAAACATCAAAAAATGTATTAAACAAGAAAATTTTCAATAGTAAATTAATATCAAATAATGGGAAATTTTGATGGGAAATTTTTTTGAAATTTAAAAAAAGTAATTTTCAGTTGAAATTTTTTTTTATACAATTAATGAGAATGGGACTTTTTCAAATATGTTGAAATGGAAAGAGAAAGAAGAAAAAAATAGCTAAGAATTGATGTAATTTCAAATTTGAGAAAATAATTTAAAAAATTATGCATTCATTTTAGATTAATGAATTTATTGAAATTTATTTGAAATAAAAATAAAGTACAAACGAAATTCAAAAAAAAAAAGAAAAAAGGAGTAATAGTTTGATTAAGCATTTAATTTGTTTAAAAATTTAAAAAAAAAATATATATAAAATAAAGCTTACATCACCACATAACTCTGATTGTGGTATTTCATTGCTATAATTATTATCCAATATATTTAGCGTTTCGTTTTCCATTATTCAAATTCTAAAAAATAAATTCAAATAAAATTTTTACTTTTTATCGAAAAAAGTAAAATTCTTTTGAAAATTTTTTTCAAAAAAAAAATTCAATTTCAATAAAATTTACGATTAATTTCAAACGATCGATCATTCGCATATGATTATTATAAATTATCAAAAATTAATATCTTTTTTTTTAAACTTAATAATTGTTTATATATATATATTTGGAAACTTTTTTTTTTAAACTATGACAAATATTTAAATTTAAACTATTTTTTCTAATTAAAAATAACTGAGAGAAAATTTTTAAATTCAACTATTTAAAATCTAAATTTAACGCATTATTTTCATAATTTACACTGAATTATATTAATATATTTCAGTTAGATTTGATAAAAAAAAAATTGAAATAATTTTATTTCTTATTTCTTTTTTTTTTTTTTTTAATTTTTGCAAACATTCTTTTGAACATTTTTATAAGTAATGTATTTAAATGGTTCTAGTTTCTCAATAAATACTTTTAACTTATCTCTCGTACTAAAAAAATTTGCCTCTGTAATCGTATATAGAAAACTAAAATAATTTCATTTTCATTTTTTTTTTCTTTCTTTCTTAAATTTCAACGATTTTCCATGCAATTTTTTTTTTTTTGCTTGTTATATTTAATGATTATACTTAATAATGTTTTACTTACTTAAAATTTCTTTACTTACAAAAAAAAAAAAAATTGACAATTTCTTTTGCAGGAAAGAAAATTAATACAAAAAAAAAACTTTATTGTATTCAAAAAATAAAAATATTATTAAATAATTTTTCTTTTACTTTTTCAATCCTTTTAATTTCATTTTTAGTAACAATTATAAATTGACGAACTTATATTTAACTTATAATTTACATTCATTTCACTTGTAAATTTATATTATAATTTAGGTTTTTTTTTTTTTTTTACATTAACAACATAATTATTTAACAAAACAAAAAAGTAAAATAAAATAAACAAAAACGTTTTTTTTTAAATTATAAATAACATTAAAGATTATAAATAAATCAATTCTAATTTATCATTGAAATGAAATAATTAAGCTATACATTCGCTTATCTTATTTTTAGTTCTTTAATTTTGCTTAAATTTAAAATAGTTTTAATTTTATTCATTTACAAATCTTTTATTATTAGTAATTGAAAAGATCAAAAAAAAAAAAAATTCATTAAAATGCACAGTAATAAATGTTTTTTTTTTTTAAAAAATTATTTGAATAAAAATAAATAATTTTGAATATGAAAATTAATTTAGCTTATATTACTTACTTATTTTTGTTTATGGTTTTATAATTCATGCTAGATATGCTTTGAATTTTCCGATAATTTAATTAGATGTTGACTACACATATTTAATTATCTTTTAGTGGAATTTATACTGATAAAGCAATATGGTTGCTAATATTTAATACTTTTTCTCTTTTTTTTTTTTTTTATTGTTTTTTTTTTCATCGATTAATAATTGAATTGTGTTAGATAATAAATGAAAAATTTTAAATGGAAAAAATAAAAATAAACAAATGAGAAAAAAAAATGACAAATTTGGATGAAATTTGTAAGAAAAAAAAAATTTTTTAAAAAATAAAAAATAAAAATAAAAAAAAAAAAAAACGAAAACAATCTAAAAATTTGTGGAAGAGAATTTAAAAATTGAAAATGAAAAAAAAAAAGAAGAAAAAACAAAAAATAATTTAAAAATTTGTGATAGAAAAGTAAAAATGCAAAAAAAAAAAAAATATTTCTGCTAAAATTTTTGTTCTTTAATTTTTTTTTAAAAAAAAATGTAAATTGTTTTATTATTATAATAATTGATTTTTGTCTTTTCACTTCATTATATTTAATATTTCGTTTTTTTTTTTATAAAAATTATTCATTTGTTTGTTGTACAATGTTAATTTATTTTTGCATACTTTTTTTTTTCATTAAAAATTTTTTTTTAAATTTTAAAATAGATAGCTTTTATTATTTTATAGCTATTAAAATGATTTAAAATTTAAAAAATTTAATTCGTAATATTCTACAATCAAATTTTTATCACTGTACTTTTTTTTTAATTTATTTTTAATTACTAAATAATCTGATATGGCAATTATTATTCTATTATTAATTTTTTTTTATTAACTAATTTAATTAACAAAAAAAAAAAAAAACTACGATTAATATTACAATGATTTAAAGTGATAAAATATTATTGCATAAAAATTAATGATGCATTTTATAATAAATGACAGATATATTGTTATTTAAAATGGAATAAATTATTTCTCAAATATCATTTAAAAAAAAAAAAAAAAAAAGGAAGATAAGAAATATGCATAAAATAAAAATTTGATGTAAAAAATTTCAATTCTATTCATTCATTTTTTAACAAAAATTACAAAAGCTAAAAATTTAATCTTGATAAATTTTTTAATTAATTCTTTTTTTTTTAAACAAAAGAAAAATTTTTTGAAACTACAATAATTAATTAGCAAATTTGTAAACATTCATTTATATTTGAAAATATTTTCATAAAACATTTAGAGAAAAAAGTTTAGCAAAAAAAAAAAAAAACAAAATTAAAAGAAAAGAATGAAAGGGAAAGGAAATCAATAATAAATTTCATGCATCATTTGGTAAGTAATAATCAGTTTTTTTCAAAAATGATAAAACATATGACATTCGTGTGATTAATAAAACTTTAATAATTAATGATATCATTGGAAAGCATAAAACATATCGTTTTTATTTTATTTTAATTCCTTTTACTTTTTTTTTTAAATAAAACATTTTAGTGCTAAAAAAAATTTTTTTGAAATTAAATGCAATATAATAAATACTAATAAGTGTTTAAAGTGATGTTAAAATGTTTTATAATATAATAAATTAATTAAGAATTAAAAGTAAAAATCCTAAAGTAATTGTTAAACATTGTAATTAAAATAAAATACAGATATTTATAGAGGAGTAAGTGATAATGGTAATAGTAGTGTAGAATGTAAGTATAAGTTAAATATGACATAATAAAAGTAAACTTAAGTGATAATAATTTCATATTAAAGAATTAGAAATGAAAAAGATTAAATTATTAACTTAAATATGACATAATAAAAGTAATAATAGCTCAGCTTAAGTGATAATAATTTCATATTAAAGAATTAGAAATGAAAAAGATTAAATTATTAACTTAAATATGACATAATAAAAGTAA